TTGACAAGTGAGAAAGTACGATGAGAGGGCGACCTACGGTCGTATATATTCTGGATAGTTTATTTGTTCTGCTTGTACCAGTCAGGCTCGCTGGATGCGGCATAGAGCAGCGTGGGTGCGAGGACAGTTAACCACAAGTGAACGAGCATGGTCGCGGCGGGTAGTTCTGGTAAGGGACGTGTCAAAATCAAGGACTTTAAATGCAGGGATACCAACCTGATGCAGTCGGTAAACGTAACTTTAAAGGAGGGACGTGATCGGCCACTGAATACAACCAGCGAGGTAGTCTCTCTAGACAGACGCTTGATCGTCTCTACCTCGCTCGATAAAGTCTGCCGGTTACCACAAATTAGCCGGCGGCCTGCGTCATCATGTGAGATTGTGTTAGTCTGACAATATTGGCGGGAATCTTGAGGATGCAGTGTTGGTCCGTCGGAATGCCGCACTGAAGCGTGGAGTGGCGTGCGAGAAGCGGCTATCGTGACTCTGACTCGGTCGAATAGTAAAATCCGCTCCCGAATCACTTATAAATTATTTTCGAGGAACCAGATACATCAATCGTATATTTTATGGGATTTGCTTCGCGATCACGTGACCTCGGACGTCGTTAGCCATTTCCACAACAGTACTTGTAGGGCATCAACCTGCCGCCAGCTGATGGCAATATTAGCTCAGTGCTTGAGTTCCCTCTCCTTCGAGTGCAAGGAGAGAGTTGATGTTATGGTGTCAGCGCCCGCCCACTTTTATTTTGCCCCGTCTGTGTTTGTGTCGAGTTCCGCCGTAAGTTCCACATGCCGTCAGCTGTTATTTATCTTCGCTGAACAATCCTCATCTCTGCAGTGCATTATAAAGCAAGGCGACGTCAGCTGCACTTTCCGCAGGCCATCCGATGCACCCAGCCCCTGTGAATACAAACCAGTGAGGTCACTCCGTTCTATTCTCGGCGCACGGGAAACCGAACAAAGACTTTGCTTAAATGTCCCTGTTGGATCGATATCAGGGCGGAATGGAGGGATCCGAGCGGGAAGACACAGCATCCTGGAACGGACCCAAATGGAGACACGACACAAGTATGTGTATGTGATGTCACAGTGTGTGCTCTGCCATGAGGTTGCACGACACAAACGAAGAACCCAAATAGATGGTCGTCGAATCCTTAAATCCAAACGCATTTATTGAGGAGAAACTGAGCCCAGAAGGTTCCAGACACCCGTGACAGAAGAGTACTTTGTGAGAGAAAACTCGGCAGGACGTTGTAGTCCCGGAAGTTACTGACTTCGGAACATCAACAGCTTCGGAAAGTCTATTCGCAGTTTCTCCACAAAGCCTAGTCTCCCTTTTAGCGCCTCGAGCCCCGAATTTTTACGGCAGATTTGTGGGGCTCCTGTGACAGATGAAGTGCCGAAAACGGGAGACGACAAGGCTATGATGAGACAAGAAGGCAAAAAATATCCATACCGATTTCTTCCTGGCCAGATACAGACACGCGTTCCGACGTTCCCGTAGCCAACCAATAGTGTTGTCCCGGGTCAGGGCCCAAGCCCGACCCAAAGTCGAGCTCAGTAGGGCTCAGGATTTTGGACGACCCGCGACCTGGGCTTGATACCGGGTCGGTAGAGGTACCGCATCCGACTGAATTTGGAGAAGAAAATATTAATATCATGTCAAGGCTGTATTGAGCATGTATCAGCTGGGTTTTGCCTCAGAAAAAGCCTCACAATTTGTTCGACCAACTTACTTGAGATTGAACACTAGAACTAGACATGCCGTTTTTTATTATTATTAACCCATCAACGATATTCACAGCAGCTCTTGAAAAATGCTCGGTGATATACATGAGGTAAAATGCTTAGTAGATACCATTTTTCAGTTGAAAAACTCACCTTATCAAGGCTGAAAAAAAAATCACCTTCAAGCCCGGGCCTGAGCCCAAGCCCGACCCAGAGGTAGGGTCGGACTCCGGATATTCTGAAGCCCAAGCCCGCTCCGCTCCGACCCAAGCACGGGTTTTCGAGCCCACCCGACCCGAACAACACTACCAACTGAAATCCGCTGAAAAAATATCCATGACCATTAAGGTAGCACCTTTCCCCTTTCGACCAGGTGTCGCAGGTGCATCTTTGTGATAACAAGTCTTCCTACGCCGGGCGTGTGCGTAGAAGTTTCTCCGCCGTTATGCGCCAGCCGGGCGACATCCTTGATCACGAAGTTCTTCCCACTAATCCTTGTGGGGAGCGGAATAAGAGCGCTAGGCGATGAAGACCTTGCAAATGATGTTCGGCTCCGTCTTCAGTTTAGTGAACGAATTCCGATTAGACGAACAAAGCCCGTGGCCCTTCTACACGGCCAAACGGAAATCTTATGTGATTTTAAGATTGATTGGCTTGTAATTTTGTACAGCTGGGTCCTCAACATTTCTTCAAGACATTTTCTCGGTAACGGCAATATCGGTTCTCGACATTAACCAGCGTTAACCGGTGTCTCGAATGGAACTTCTGCGCACAAACCTGTCACCGAGATCCGTGCGCACATAACACGCGCAAGTTGGTTTGTCCGAACGGGTTTGCTCCTGTCCTCCATCCTCTCCCGTTCTTCCCTTCCGAGTCGCACTGTAGTGATATAGGTTAAAGGGACAAAGATCATTCACTCGGCATACGAAAATACAGCAGCACATGGACGCTGGTGGACCTGCAAAATTTTGACAAATCCGTAAAGGACCAATCAAGCACGGATCGATTTATTTGAGGCCGGCAGCACAATTTCTGGAAGTCTGAGAAGATCATACGAGTATTGGGAGAATTGAGTCGAACCCCGGTCTGCCTCCAAACATGAGTGGGATTTCTTCCACAAGACAAGAGGCGGTGTCCACCTAAAATTCCAACACGTCAAGATCTTGCGTTGTCGCCTGTTCCCAGGCTCTCTCTCTCTGCTCTAAGTATCGGGCCGGCGCGTGCACCGCGAGTAGTCTGGGGCCAATCTGCGTGATTTCAACGTGGCCCCTATTGAATCACTATGTGAAAAAGGTCAATCCTAATTCCTTCAAGCCACAGCAGGGTGGGCCGTCGATCTGAAGTCCTGGTCTGGACCAAACAGCTGCCGTTTGGTTGGATTCTCTTAGCAGACTTCAGACGGTCTCCTCTCTCCTCAGCCACTTGAAGTGCGCCTCGTCAGCGTCATAAATGAATGGGGATGCAATTTCTAATCAAGAAAGTATCCCGAGCGAGGGTATCAATAACGTGGCTATGGCCCAGCGATATAAAATCGACTTATATGATGAGTCGCTGGCAGTCTACATGGCTGCAGTCAAGCCGAGGTTGCTGATACGTGTAATCAGCACATTCCCGTCTTAGCTTTCTTCATGAGGGGTCTATTACGTCGTTTGCAAGATAGATTGATTTTCACAGCGAGTTGGTGGTAGACGACTGTAGCATACAATTAGGACGCGTTGTATGTTGGTACAGTACCTGCTTATTCCTGATGGGGACCTCCGCGGTAATACATCCTTCCTTCGTTTCCTTCCGTCCTTCTATGTCCGATTCCTCGTACTATTACAAACTTCACTAGGCCGTAGCACTTTGCAACATTATGTTCCAGTTAAACATTCACCAATGAACGCAATTGCGAGACACCGGATGGCCCCAAAATATTAACCTCACTAGTATACCATTATGAACGCATTGAATTTTTTTCCGCAGGGGGAGATTTCTGCGAGCCGGGCATTACAAAAAAAAAAAGCAATATCATCGACCATTGGGACACGGGGAGTCGAACCCCGGTAGGAACTGTGTTCCTAGAACAAGATGAGAGGCTGTATACCGTACACCATGCCGAGCCATTCTCTTCCAAAGCTCGCCATATTCTCGTTTTTTTTTGAAAACATCCCAAGACAGATTGCCCAGATGGCCGGAAGATATATGAACCACGGCACCATGCCTTGGACTCTGATTTTTTAGCACGCCCCCAAAAAAACAGACAAGAAAAATTGCAAAACACGGGTACGGGGAGTCCCCACACCACCTCCAACACCCACAATTGTGGGGAGGTCCGACTCGTGTACCAGTCACTGTGGTTGTCCCTACAACATGCGAGGCACGAGCACCAAAACTGTTTTAGCGTCTGTCTGCGAGAGACTAGGTTGTCCCATTGCTTCAGCCTACGAAGTTAATCAGGTCTTCACATTTTTTGGACTACCGCAACCGGATTCACTCTCATTACCCGATCGCGAGAAACTGAGAAGATATTTCAGTCGTGGTACTATGGGATTTGAACACGCAGGCCCAGGCTGCAGCCAAAAAAAAAAAAAACAGAGACGAAGATCGAGATTCAAACATGGGGGGGTTGAACCCCGGTGGCTTCCAGGGACTATACCACGCTTTCACTGGTTTATAATACGAGACCGGTGCACCCTGCGCCGTATCCGATTCTTTTAACTCTACAAAGTTCATTCACTAGGTCGGCATTCCCCGTCAAAATATGGGGTGGACGCCCGAGATACCCGAACGAATCAACTTGACTGCCCAAGCTCAAGTGCTCAAGTATATATTAGTCTGAACAACTTCCGGACGAGCTAAAAATTCACGAACTTTCTTAGTCGAAGGCGTTGGCTCGAAAGCTACCCGACTTCGCTTGGATCCTCTGACACAGTGCTGAACGACAGAGGAAAAAAAGATGAGGCTCTACGACAAATATTCGGACACGGGGAACCGAACCCCGCTCTGCCTCCAACATGATTGCAAATTATTCTACAAGACGAGAGGTGGTCTACACCATCTCCGATTCCTTGCACTGTTAGAAACCTCACTAGGCGTAGTACTTTGCAACATTCTAGTTAGATTGTTCGCCAATGAACGCAATTGCAAGACGCCCGACGCCCCCACAATATTCAACCTCGCTAGTACGCCATTGACATTATGAGACTCTCCATTGCGCCTATCTCCGCGTTCACGAGTCGAATATTTCTGCGAGCTGGGCATCGCAAAAAAATGCAGTCCGACCACTCATTCGGACACGGGGAGTCGAACCCCGGTCTGCCTCACAATCTTCGTCCTGACATGTCTAAATGGGAGAGGCGGTGTACCATACACCATGCCCGATTCCTTTCACTCATTTGAAGCTCGCTAGGTTCGCACTTTTGTTGGATCAGCCCACTCGGATATAGCAAAATATGGATGGAGCCCAGTGTTCAACCTCGCTTATGCTGCCATGGATAATTCCTCGAATATATTTGCCTCATACTTTCATAGATATTGGATGTGGGGTTTGAGCATATAGACTAATATCGGAGGAAAAACGAATACACCAAACATTCGGACACGGGGAGTCGAACCCCGGTCTGCCTCCAACATCATTGGAGATTAATATTCCTTTGCAAGACAAGAGGCGGTGTGCCATACACCATGTCCGATTCCTCATACTGTTACAAAGGCTGTAGTACCTTGCAACATCCCAGTTAGATTATTCAACAATGACCAATGAACGCAATTGCAAGACGCCCGATGCCCGTAAAGATTCAACCTCACTAGTAGGCCATTGATATTATGAGACTCCCTTTCCGCGTTCACAAGATTTCCGCGAGACGGGCATTACAAATCGAGAAAAAAAAAAAGAGCAGAAGAGATCTGATTCATTCGGACACGGGGAGTCGAACCCCGGTCTGCCTCCAACAACCTTCTTCTTGACATCTCTCATGTAGGGAGGCCGTGTACCATACACCATGTCCGATTCCTTTCACTTATCTGAAGCTCGCTAGGTAGCATTTTATTTTATTTTGGATCAGCCGACTTAGATCGAGTAATAAAACACGGCCGCGGACAGCCAACTTCCGAGACACCCGGAAAGATTCAGCCTGAATCCAACAATTCAAACCCCGGACGGCAGGTAAGAAGTAAGAGTCCATTACACAGAGTCCCGTGAACCCATTATACAATACTCGTACAGCTAAGTATCCATGTCCCAAACCAGCCGAATCCTACAGGCTAATCGAACAAGGACCCGCGATCGTCGAACGCAGACCCGCGATCCTTGAACCCGAACCCAGGATCGTCGAACCCGCGGCCGAACCCTGAATCGTCGAACCCGCTACCGAACCCGGGATGGCGCCTCACGCCCTGGGGGAAGTTGTCAGTCACTGGTTCGGATCAGAGCACCGTGCGGGGGTGGGTAAGTCAAACTATCATCGGGGAGGGGGACGAAGGAAGAAAGAACGCAGACCAAAGGAAGAAAGAATGAACACAGACAAAAAACACTCACATCAACGACAGCGTAACATCCCCATGCACCTTCGCCTTGATCTGCACGTCCACCTCCAGATTCAGATCCAGGCGCAGCTTCAGCGCTTCTTTCTTTTGTCCTCCGCCCCCTCCGAGGAGCCCACCGCCGCCGCCTGGGCTGAGGACGGAGCTGAGGGTGTTTGAGAGGATTTGGCCCGCCTGCTCGGGGAGTTGTTGTTGTTGGGGAACGGGCGCGGGTGCGGGTGGCTGCTGCGACTGGGATTGGGATGGGGCCGACGAAGAGGAGGACGCAGACTGCATCCGCCGCCGCCCGCGATCGCGCCGCCGCGAGGATTGTGGCGGTTCTTCTTGTGGCGGTTGTCGGGACTGCGAACGGGACGCAGGCGCAGGCGATGCCTCGCGCGAGAGCGGCAGTGTACTGTCCTCGGATGACATGATCAAAGCAGGTGTAGCGCAAGGTGTTGCGCAGTGAGTGTGGAGTGGAAGTGACAGACGATTATGGAAAGCCCGCGCTTTTAAAAGAGTCGACGCGCGATGACGTAGGCCGTGTCATCGACGCTCGTGGTGACCGTGGGAGGGAGGCTGTGCCATTTGTTGGGGTCAATTGGGGGTAGATCACTTTCCATCGTTTATGTCGTGAGGTCCTCTCTCAGGCTAGTGACTATTCATGTGGTTTCCATTTGGAGTTACCGTGGTCTCATAAAGGTTGACTCTTTGCGGGCATCTTGGGCATGTTGCGCACTGTCCATATTTCCCAGTGTCCGAGTCTGAGCCGCATCGGGACTTCGCAGTCTAATAAAATTGAGATCCTAATGCACTTCGTAGGGATGGAGGCAGTAGGACATGGTGTATGGTACACGGCCTCCCAACATGCTGGACGATCAAATCGGAGATTGCTGGAGGCAGACCGGGGTTCGACTCCCCGTGTTCGAAATTTGCGGTTATTGTAGTACTTTTTCTTGGCCACATTTAACTTGCGATCCACCCCCACCCCCGACCGGCAGAGTGGGGAAAAACAGCTCTGGTGTTGGATTATTTCGCGCGTCTGCGTCCTTTGTTCGTTGTTTTGTCCCTATATTTGCTGACTCCGGTTCGGACGTTCCAAAAAATTAATTACACAGTGACCTTCATGGGGATGCGAGGCATCGGACATGGTGTATGGTACACGGCCTCCTCACATTGAAGGTGACTGACAAGATTGTCGGAGGCAGACCGGGGTTCGACTCCCCGTGCTCGAATGGGGTCTTTGGTAATTGTTTTTTTCTTTTTCTTTCTTTTTGTAATTACCAGCCCGCAGGAATCTCCACCCTGTCAACCCTACGAACGGGTGTCCCATAATATTAGTATCAATGGCATACCTGTGAGTCTGGTTAGATCATTGCGGGCATCTCAGCATCTTGCGCACTGGTGTCTCAGCCGCATCAAGACCTCGGAGAAGATTGGGATCCTAATTAAATTCGTAGGAGTAAGTGGGATCGGGCATGGTGTACGGTACAGGGCCTCCCAACATACAGTTGATCGGAAGGAGAATGTTGGAGGCAGATCGGGGTTCGACTCCCCGTGTCCGAATGGTTGGCTATTTCGCGAATCTTCTTTTTTTTTTTGTAATGCCCGGCTCGCAGAGATCTCCCACCTTTGAACGCGAAAAAGGTTCAATGCGGAGTCTCATAATTAATATCAACAAGCACTCGCCGGCGCAAAGCGCCGGCTCCTACTTGCGGAATCCGGACCCAGCGCTTCCAAAGCCGCGCTTGAATTCGAATTAGCGCCTCCGAAACTTTAACAGTGAGCGAAAGGCGGAGTTTAGCATTGTGTACACTTTTATAGTCGCGCGCGCGCTTAAGGTCGATCATGGGGCCAAAAGCCCTGAGGAAGCGCCGTTTATTGAGCGCTTCCAAAGGCCTGGACCCAGCGCTTCCAAAGCCTCGGGCCTGATCTCTCAAAAGCGGAGTTAAAAGGCTTCGGACCTGCTTAATTTTATAAAGAGAGAGATGGCGTACTAGTTAGGCTGAATATTTTCGGGGCATCGGGCGTCCGTTCATTGGTGAATAATCTAACTGGAATCATGATGTTGCAAGGTGCTACGGCCTAGTGAGGTTTCTAACAGTACGAGGCTTCTAATAGTACGAGGTATCGGACATGGTGTATGGTACACCGCCTTTCGTCTGATGGAAGAACTGCCACTTGTTGGAGGCAGCGCGGGGTTCGACTCCCCATGTCCGAATAACATGTTGACCCACGACTTTTTTGCGTGTTTTTTTCTTTCATTTCGGTGCTTTATTGGACAGCCGGTGACTCATGGTAACGTCCACAATATTTCCAGCCACCCTCGACGTTCGACCGCGATATCCGGTTTGAGTACAAGATTGATCCGTGGCTGTGCTATAGGTTCCCACGGTTTCAAAAAACAATGGCGACGATGTACTCGCCTTCAAATGGTCTCAAAAAGTAAAATTGAACTACCTATGATGCACGCTACAATATAATCACGTCCATCATGGCTTCCATAACCAGTTCCCAAAGCGAACGGGAACTAAAGGCTGTAACCATGGCTGTGTGTTGATAGATCGCTGATCGAAGCTTGTCATGAAGTCAATAAGTATCAGGATGCGCGGGAGGCTGTGCCCTCTACCTTCATCCCCCCCATGAGCGCCTCAGCTCCGAGCTTGGGAAGGGTCTCCCCTGCACCACCTGGTTCAGTTTTCCGGGACAGCTTGGAACGATACATGCAGAACCTTGACCCTCCGGATGCAGATTGGCTTAGCAGGATAACGAAGATGTCATGGGAGCCTGTGGTCGCCCAACTCGAAGCTCTCAATAGAAGTCATAAAGATAGCAGCATAACCCGAAGGCTTCTCAGTCGTGTCCGATGCTTTGCAGATGCCCTTCGTCCATTCTTTGGATGCATGGATATGGTATTTTCTTCTGGTGGATCAATTATTGGAGTTGTTTGGGGTGCACTGAGGCTTGTAATTGAGGTGAGCCAGAAAGCATATCTCCTCCATATGTATAAACAACTCAAAAACAAATTGTTCAGATTACCCACAAGTTCACTGAGTATTTTTCAATCATAAGTGACACCCTTGAAACTATATCAGTCGAACTTCCGATTTTCCAAGACTATGTTGAAAAATTGTACCCGCAATCAAACACTGTCCAGAAGGTTGGCTAGCTTTGCAAAGAAGAACCACATCTTGATGTTCATTTAGGCTGTGGTTGTTATCTTTGAAGACATTCTGTCAGTCTTCCTTATCGTCAGGAAGGTTTTTGTTGATTCCAATGGTCACACCCGATGTATGTGCTCCCGCCGCTCGGAGATATTTTAACTAAAACCCATTGGACTCAATCCAGCGTTATTTGGCACATCAGTCAAAATTTTCCGTCGAGACATGGAGGAAATTACAGCACATCTAGAAAAACATCGGAACACTGTCCAGGTCCACGTTGACCATGCTGAACGAATGGCAAACAGGGAAGAACGAGAAAAATCCTCGCAATCTCGAAGAAGGCTGGAGGCCAAGATACTCACTGATGAGAAGAGAGCATCAGAAATCACATTTTGTAAGCAAGTTCATTTTGAAAAATCAATCTGATGTCGGGATTAGACCAAAGAATTGAGAAGTTTCAAGCTCTTTTGGATGCCCCAAAGTGTTGGGAAAGACATGCAGCCTCACTTCAAATTTACAAACAACCCCGGTGCTGGCTTTTAGATAATGCACAGTACACAGAGTGGTGTGATAAGAGGTGTGGACTTCTTTGGTGTCATAGCAAACGTAAGTGTCAAATTGATGATAATATTATAAGCCTAATATTTCTTTAGCTGGTGCTGGAAAGACAGTCTTGAGGTAGAATATCCACTGGCCAACACACAATAAACTGAACATTGGAATAGCTCAGTTATTGTGAACGATTTACAGCAAAAATATCGCCAAGATCCTGATATTCCCGTTGTGTTCTTCTACTGTGAATACGATGACCCAGCCAAGAGACTGACAAGCAAAATCATGGCCTCCATTTTGGACCAGCTCATGTATAACCCCCAAGTCTTGGCCTTGGTTAAAGAGACCTGGATGAATCAGAGTCCAAACCTGCAACATCTGGGTCTCGAGAATCTACAGGATCTGATTATACAGCTTCTCCAGCAATCTCAGCATGCATATATCATTGTTGATGCACTCGATGAGTGTGATAACCCGGAGGAGGTTGCCAAAATTCTATTATGCTTGGCTGCATACTGCTGCGTTCTGGTCACGAGCCGAAGTGAAACAGAAGATATCACTCCACTTTTTGAACACCATCCTCAAATCCATATCACATCTGAAAGTCTTCAAGCTGATATTGAATACTTCGTTTCTTCATCCCTTGAAAGCACCGACGCATATCAAAACGGTCACCACATATTAAACAGCACATTGCTAAGTGCTTCTATCAGCAGCAGATGGGATGCAAGTCCACTCCATCCTTATTCTATTATTGGCTCTCTGACTTTCA